TAAGACAGTATGTGGAGAGATGTCTTCATTAATTTGCAGAAGTGAAGTGACTATGATAATTGCTATGTTATAGATAAGGGGAAGCTCGTCCCTTATCCCCTAGCTTGTTCGCTTGTAGACAGATCACGTTACCAGTATGCAGCTCACCAAGGTGTGCAACCAACTGAGCAGCCATGCCATTTGTCCTATATCAACAACCCATCTCTCGTACTGCACACATTACTACATGTAATGTCGTTATGTAGAGACTGGATCTCCTCCATGCGCCATAATGCCATGCTGCCATCATAACTACCTTTGCACCAGCTACTAGATCTACCATACTACATAGCTGAGCATAACACTGATGCATGTAACAGTGCTGAGGGACCAAACAATCAGAGACTATGTAAAAACTTGAGATGGTCAAAAAAGAGTTCTTCCGTACAAAAAGGCTTCAGCAGCTGCTCTCAGTGAAAAGGAACGAAACGGAACGGAACCAAAAATTGAGGATATTAGTGAAAAATAGAATAGAATTAAATATAAGTCCCTGCTGAGTCTATGACTATGAAGGACTATTAGTGAATGTGTTTGTGTTTATTGTGCTACTTGAGTCTTTGACTATCTAGCACATTGGGCTCCTCTCTGACCCAGGCCACACCTTGTACAGTGCTCCTATCCTCTTTTGTTACTTGAAAGATCATTGATATATTCCCCTTGATGAATTGCCATTCAGCTCAGTGTTTACCCGTGGAATTCAGCCACCTTTTCCACTGAACCTTCTACCCAAAAAAAAAAAAAAATGGTAGCAATGGAAACTGCGTGCGCGGGAAAAAGTCTCGAAAAACCTGCAGCCCCAGCCAGGCGAGGCCTAGACACCGGGACCACATGAGGTGCGCATATTCATCTATGTCTCCCTTCTTTGTAACAGTCGAGGCCGACTTGATCCAATCCACCATCTCCGTATCGGGTGCTGGGTACGCCCAGGAAACTCATCGGATGGCTTTTCCTCCATGATCAAGGGTGGGTGACGAGTAGAGCTCCGACCCTACCATCTGATCTGATCGTGGTTAGCTTCATGATAATGGTGATAGGGGAATGTGTTGAGAGATGAAGACGATACAGACCGCGAAAGCGATTGGGAATCCTCTTCGAAGTGAGGACTTTGTTACTCAATCTCGGCTCTGCAGACTCTACAGTGAGAGCTGGAGGGTCGTAGGGGACACCGCTGACAGGTGTTGAGAATAGTCCCCCGACTATTAGTGAAAAAGCAACCACTCTGAAAGGAAAGTTCTTTCCGGGCGAGGTAGAGGCAGACCTGGGCGTTTTGCTAACAGATAAGCCACCTAAACGTCTCTCAATATCAGCAAATGAGCTAGAATCGACCTTAAATCATTTTCCCACGGGAAGGGGCTGAAGCTTACACGAAATACCCAACGAGATTCTAGAGGCATTTTTATCTAAGAGGAAAAGCGATCTCGCTAGAGCAATCAATGTTCTCTTCAGCTACAGTTATATTCCTCTATCTTTCACGAAGTCTTTAACGGTTACCTGGGGAAAAAAAGCAACTTTACTATTCAATTCCGTTAAATCACAGGCTGATTGCCCTTTAAAACTCGCTTGCCAAGATAGTCAAGAAAATTGGTTGAATCGGATGACATCAGCAGCTGAGGAGTGTAAATCCTCTCCTAGATATAGGTGAGGGCGAGTAAATATCAATCTACAATCGCGGTACTAGAGCTTAAGATTTATACCGCACAAGCTGCATACGATATAGGTCCCAGATTTGTGGTATCAATGCTGGACCTAGACATGAAGGGAGGTTTCGATAGTGTCTCGAAGGAGCGTCTCACCTATGCCCTGTGCCGCGAAGGCTTTCCAGCTTGGGTGATGATATACGTGGAAAGTTTCGTCTCATAAAAGCGCACCAGAATCCAATTTCCGAGACATTCAAGCAGCTGGATAGAGACAGTAGTATGTATTACTCAATACTATTATCTATTTCCCATCTTCCTATTCTACATCTCTGAGCCTTTTAATTCTCTTCAGACACCGGGTGAGGACTACATGTCACGGTTTCGAGGGACAGGTGTTAGAGCAACTATGTGGTCGATGGTGGTAAATAATAATTCTAAGGAGAGAACTTCCAATACGTCTATCTAGTCATTAATATACGTGAAAGCCTCCTCGCCACCGAGGCTAATCCCTCCCCTTTTCCTATGCTATGGAGCTCTCCTGGTGTTCTGACAAAACCTGTAATACAGCACTATCGCGTTGTGGTCCGGAGGGATTGTACTCGATCTCGTACATTCCCAGTCAGTGTAAGCCTATCAACATGTGGTGTAGTGCCCTACTGCCGGTTCCGATGCCATGTGAATACCATGCAAATGCCGACGCAAAAGTATTGTATTAGGTGACGTCGCACATTGGCGAATTGGTATTGATTAGTAACACCACTCGAAGTAGGCCTAGGAGGGCAAGACTGAACACCTGTACGCGGTGTCCTCTACGAACCTGGGGGTGAAATATTCTCCCAGAGCCAAGTTCAGTCAAATTTCGCAATGTCAAAGAAGTTGGCCCACGAGGCAAAATTTCAAATTACTACACCATGTCAATCTTTCACTCCAAAAGAGTACGATTCTCAACTAAGCTTCATTAAGTCTACAGGTACGACCTAGTACATCCTCATCCCAATGACCATACCTCTCGTCGACCTTCTCTGGCCTCGACCACCAAATACACGCCCACGCCGATATTTACACCCGACGGAGGAAACAAAGTGTGGCGCAAAAATCTTGGAGACTATTCTCTGGGATGAGCGTGAGAGGATTCAGGACAATTTCACAAGATGATGCAGAGGATGGAGACAGTCTCGACGGGTGTGAAATTTCGAATTTTGAAAAGGAATCTTTACAAATTGACCTTTGTGCGTGCCAAGGCTTCAGTTGCGAGAGTGCAGCTGACACTATAAACACAAGCAAACGATGGAAGGTGTCGTGGTCCGCATCCTGTCGTTGTTCTCTGGTAAAGTCTGAGTAGCCTGGGCACCTACTCCACTTGGGAAGGAGACATCTCAGATCACATTTCGCGTGGAGAAAAGTTGAAAGATGATGGAGGCATGTCTGGATAACTCAGGGTTTTTGAGACGTTCCCCTGGGTGGGTATTCACGGATGAGGGTTGACTTGGGGTGAAGAAAAAGCCACCATAACTTCGCAGCGGTACTTGCAAATGAAATCCGAGGCATGAGTGCTCCTCTTATAAATTGAGTCATATTTTCTGTACTTTTCTTTGATATTGTGTCATGGCTAGATAGCTGAGTACGCAATGAAAATCTGATGCAAAAAAAAAAGCAGGTCACATGATCTTCCTAGCAGTACAAAGAAATTCATCTGTAGCCACAGATCTCTTTAGTCAACATTTATGACGTTATAGCGTGTCCCACGAATCTTTCTTAAGAGCCACCAACACCAAATATTTCCAGATATACAATTGGCTCCGACATACTTCAATCATACACCTAAAATAGCCCTTTACCCTTAACTACCTCTCATTTTCAATCAAGCACCAGAGCCTAGGCTTAACTTACAGTCACAAGTTCCACCAGACTAGACTGAATTATTAACGAAATTTCTATATCTCAAAAAATTTTAAAGTTTTAAAAAGCTGTAGAGAGCATGACATCAGAAGTTCTAGTACCCAAATGCATTGAGGTTAAGCCTCAGGGCATGCGAAAAAATGGTTAATTTACTTAATTTATTTTGATTTAGCTCATAACTTACTAAGATATAGGTAAGCAATGGCATGAACCCAAATCCGCGTTCAGACCACGAGCGGGGAATCAATCCTATGAAAAGAGAGTTGAAGCCCGGAAAGCTATGTCTATAACTAAGGCCAAAGAGAAGGAAATGAAGGAGGAGAAAGAAGATACAAGACTGGTACACACTCTTGATCGTCTATTAGGCTTAAGGATTACTGACAATATTTAGAAAAAAATCGAAGTCCTTCGTGCAAAAAAAGCTGCCAAAGAAGAGAAGGCAAGATATGAAAAGCTATCAGAGACTATGCACAAGAAAAGGGTCGATAGGTTAAAACGCAGGGAGAAAAGAAATAAAATGTTGAAATCTTGAGGAATTCCATCAAAAAATATCGGAATAAGGCATATGGCGCTAGAATAAAAGTCTTTGAGGTGTTTGAATGGGTGTATTGCACGGGCGAATCAAAATTTGTCGTTTCACGGCCTATACTTATGCAATTCAAGTAAAAAACAGTTTCACAATCAGATTCATATGTCACTTTGTCGCTTCGACTTCGATTACAACTATCAATATACAACACGTTCTTGCACATCAGCATTCCGGAGGTAATCACATCACATCAAAAACAAAATAAGGGACTATTTTGCCCAATACAAGTACTACAAAGTTGGGCTAATACGTTGCTTTTGTTTACTTTGCATCAGATTTTAATTGCGTACTCAGCTATCTAGCCATGACACAATATCAAAGAAAAGTACAGAAAATATGACTCAATTTATAAGAGGAGCACTCATGCCTCGGATTTCATTTGCAAGTACCGCTGCGAAGTTATGGTGGCTTTTTCTTCACCCCAAGTCAACCCTCATCCGTGAATACCCACCCAGGGGAACGTCTCAAAAACCCTGAGTTATCCAGACATGCCTCCATCATCTTTCAACTTTTCTCCGCGCGAAATGTGATCTGAGATGTCTCCTTCCCAAGTGGAGTAGGTGCCCAGGCTACTCAGACTATACCAGAGAACAACGACAGGATGCGGACCACGACACTTTCCATCGTTTGCTACTATTTTATAAAGGTACAAAATCAACGTTTGAGTTCACTATGGTTACAGGGCCGACGTTCACAGCTAGGACTATATTCAAGGCATACCCAACTAGGTTAAGTTGCGTTAACTAGTAGTGATTTCAAGCTGCATTCCTTCGATACTGTTGTGAGATAGACCCGCGGGGTTGCTATACACATGCCCGCATCTGGTTAGGCAACATATGACACTTAACACTAGTAACCACAAAAACGGCTTTTTCAGACCGGCAATCAATGCCGTGACTCTCAAGGCCATGACGTTGAGAAATTTATAGTTAGATATAGAAACGAGGTGCTCTCGATTTATTCTGTAGATTAGAATAATTAACTGATTCTACTTTCGGAATTGCTCCGGTGTCTATCATCAAATGGTCCCGCGATATATATAGGTCAAACCCAAATTTATTGACACAAAAGAATGAACTTTTACTTATTCAGAAATATGAATTCACTTATTTTATGTTCAGTTTGGTTCATACCTACAAGTCTATTAGGACGGATGGCCGCAATATGAAAGGAAAAAGTTTTTTAGCAAAAATTCCTGTGTGATGCGAAAATATTAACTTGATAAATTTTTGTATTTAACATTAAGCTATGAATCTGTTTAGATAGCTTTAATAGTCCTTAATAGTCATAGACTCAGTAGGGACTTAATCTCTATTCTATTCCATTCCGGTACAATGCTATTCTGAGACGACCCAGCTTAATGCCGAGCACGTTCCTTTCAACCATTAATTCATAATCATTTCTTTTAATTTCTTTAACCGCCCAACAGATAAGACTAAACTTGGGAAAAGCCAAAAAGAGAAGGCACCTCTGTTCGGCAAAGGTCTTCGAGGTGTTCGCAGAGATTGCCTCGATGCACGTGCTTCTGCCGGCACAGTTGATATTGCCGCTTAGACAACGACTTCCTTGCTTATCATTCTATCTGCGCTGTATTTAACAGAAGGCCCAGAAGAAGGGTGCTTTTAATATATTTGAAGTTTGCGGCACCTGGCATGAGATCCGGGGTCCAGATAGTAAATTCTGGCAACTCAGGAGCGTCGGCAAGTTCAGTAGTTTTTCTAGACTGAGCTAACCGGCACGTGACCTTGGGAAACGTGTTGCGCGCTGGCACGACGTAAATAATACCAAAAAACGAATTCACCCTAGGAATCCCAGAGAAGCAATAACTAGCCCTCAAACCTAGCCTCAACTTTGAGCCTTGCGTGATAGATGGATGATGGGATATTTCTGAATGGATCTATTAGAAGTATCCCGAGAGTGGGTGTAACACATCAAAGGACTAGAGAGGCTCGGTGACTAGCCGTAAAGGTGTAGGTGCCACGCTTCACGAAATCATGTAATTAGAGAATTGCCTTGCAAACCTAGTTGGGAAGTAGCAAAGGCGAAGCCACCAGGACATTAAGCACTGGCGTCCATGCCTCTAGTTAGTTTAGTGGGTAGGTTGGTTGTTCGTTCACATGCTAGGTAAAGTGACTACCGTTGCACTCCTACTGAAGCTTGAGCACGGGTGGGGCCGGGCTGGATCAGGTTAACTACCATTAAGTACATCTACCTCGTCCCACCTCAGACTTCACCCATGTGTTGAATCATGTCAAGCCCAACCGTCTAGGGAACCCGAATTTGACGCGCCGATGCGCAAATTCCTCCACAGCCTCGGCCACCACGCGCCCGAACCCTTGACACCTTCGTAATCTATGACTTTTCCCTTCCATTCAGTGCCAGCTTTGGCTCATCTCAGCATCTCCTCATCTCATCCAGTCGCACATTAAGGCCTCCTCAGTTTGTATTCCCTTTTGTTCCTTCATACACCATCTCTCTGTCCTTCAGCCGATCTCGTCATCCCAGAAAATTTGTAGAATGACCAGCCCTCCGGCCTTGCCCCGTCGCTGCCGTACCCCTAACCGTGGAGGTCGAAAATGTACCTGAGAGCTCAAAACCGAAGCACCAGTGCTCCAGCCTTTGTCGAAAGCTCTGGTTAGTGCGCCGGTGATTCGTCGCAGGTCGAGTTATTGGGGCCCTTAGCCGAGGTGAGGACGCATTTAAGGCCGGTATTTCGACCGTACTTTCACAGCGATTGGCAGTTGTGTAGGGTCGGACATCCTCTTGCTTCTTTGTTGGCGATTTGGCTTTTGGAGGTATGGGATTGCTTTGATAGGTGATGAGATGATTGTGGAGAGGGCCGCGAGATGAGTTTGGCCGGGAATAATTTTCCGGAGAAAAAGAAAATAAGATCTTGAAGGTGTCGGTTGCTGTAATACGAACATCAGAAAGGTTTTAGCTTGTATGCGGTTCGTATCTGAGGTGTAGATGGTTGATTTCGTTGAGTTGTGCAGTCGTGAAATCTCTGCAAGTCGGATTTTCGACCAAAAATGAGCCAACACCACTCCTCCCGATCGCCAACTTGACGAAAACTCTTAAATTCACCCTTTGTCGTGGCCGAATCTCGGCTCTAGGAGAATATTACACTCCCAGGTTCGTAGATGACACCACTGACAGGTGTTCAGCCTTTGTCCTCCGGTATATTATCTGGACCCACCTCCGAAGTAGACTCTGGATAGCTTTGGCACATGTCCCAGTTGAGACAGGAGATGTCTGGTTTAAATCCGGCGAAATCTTCGGTTTTGCGAAATTTGACAGAGCTTGGCACTGGAAGAATCTTTCCCTGCCAGGTTCGTAGAGGGCAGCGCGTTACGGTATCCATTATTTGCCCTCTGAGGCCAACTCTTGCACTGCTCTAGCGGAGGTTCATTTCCAGACGCTGCTGAGGCAACGGGCCTAGACGATTATCTATTGTCGAGATCCAGGGGGATGAATTGATTGATTGGTTGATTCATTTCAAGGTCCCAGGCACCAGGCCAGCGCCTTATGGCACGGGACTTGTGGGCTCGGTAAGGATTATCCTAAATAGCTATTCCATACTCGTTCCCACCACACTGTCACTATGTGACTCTAATTACAAACAACCAAAAGAAACAAAGCAAATTAACATGTAAGAGCGGTGCTAGTATTTCTCATCCTATGTCCCCCTCAGTCATTTCTCTCATCCTGACAAAATAATCACTCCGGCCCTCGCATCCATGCTCCCAAAGCAGGGGGTAATCCTTGCAAATTCTATGAACTTCTCGAGACCTTCCGGCCCAAGGAGTTGGTTTATATAGTCTTCCACGGTCATGAATCTTCTCAACCTGCGCATTATATCAGCATTCTTCCTGCATCGGACAAAATGAGTTGGCGTTGTGCTTTGTCCACAGACGCATTTTAGTTTCGCGTCTTCGTGTTTCAGGCGGCGGTGATAGTCCACAAAGTCTCCATGTCCTGATCTTGCTGCCAGGAGCTTATGGAGTAGTCGTCGAGAAAGACCTAGTTCTGGTGGTTTCCGACATCGCATTTGAAAGTCCAGGTCTCGATATCTGTCCGAACCTGACTTATTCCGCCAGTCTTCCACCAGTTTCTGTCGGCGATTGTGCATCAAACGGCGTATGTATGCCTGTGTTTTCTACACTGGCTGCGTCTGTCTATCTGGTAGCAGCTGAAGACCGGCTCGGGCTTCTGCGTCCGCTTCTTCGTTGCTACTAATATTGGAGTGTCCAGGCACCCACCCCACGGTCGCGTTCGCTTCTGAAACGAACTTGTGAAAGACGCGGATTATCTGCAGCGACGATGATGACTTCCCAGTCCGAAGCGCGAGTACAGCTGCCTGATTATCAAGAAGAACGATGATTCTCTCACCGTTCTTTCGAGCGCGCATAGCTTCCTGAAGTGCTACTGCTGCTCCTGCAATTTCTGCATCACAAACTTCACCGCCATGTAGACGACCGTGACCTTGTGCGAATGTTTGTCCTCCGCGTTGAAGGACATGTCCCCAAGAGGATCTTCCGTGGCCTTCAGATGACCCATCAGAGTAGGCGCATATGTCAGAGAGAGAGATCGTGCTAGCCCAGTTATAGTGTGCTTTGACTCCCTCTTCTTTCGTTCCAAGACTTGATGTGTACACTGGGCCTGCCAGCCCTTCTGACTCTTCGGATGACTCCGGGAGCTGTCGAAAAGCACGCTGTAGGCGCGACATCTGGGTTTCTGGTTGGCGCCTGACTCTCTTCCTTAGCTTGTACTTCTGCGAGCCAACGTTAGGGCACTCGCTTGCGCGGTTCCGGAGAGGGTGCCGGTCATCGAGCGACTGGATCCTGACTACTAGACGGAGTCGAATTCCTTCGAGGAGAATCTTTGCCGGTGGGATGCCCCCTTCCCTATGAAGAAGGACATCAGGCGAGGTCTTCCAGACTGGTAACGCGGCACGTAGGGCTAGTCGAATGGTTTTGTCGATCAGACTACATAGGTGTGTAGTCTGTGGCGTTGAGGTACCTTTCTTCGTTGGCCGTGTTAGTCCGGGCCATCACACATCCGCTCCAAATGTTGCTACTGGTACGATACATGAGTCGATGGCGGTAACCAGAGGACCTGGGGCCGCTCCTCGTCGAAGTGGGTTAAGTCGCCGCATGTGCTGGGCAGCTTTGAGGGCCTTCCCGCACCATGTCGCTACATGGTGCTTGAAGCTGAGACGCGGATCAAGGTGAATTCCAGGCCAGCGAATATGCTCCGTCGGCTGGACTAGCCTACCGCCAACTTGTATTCCTACTGATTCGCCCTGATTTCTCCCTTTGAATTGGATCACCTCAGACTTGTCGAGATCGAACGAAATCGTGTTCTATTCAGCCCATTTCAGAAGATGGTCGACCTCACCTTGTGCCGCCGTCGCAGACTCGGCTAACGAGCGACCAATGCCGAGAATCCCAATGTCTTCCGCATAGCTAAATCGTGCTCTGCAGTTCCCGTTTGGCATGGGCTCGGCCTTGTATAAAAGGAAGAGCAACGGAGAGATCGGCGATCCCTGTGGCACCCCTAGCCTCAAAGATCTCGGGCTGGTCACGCCTCCCGGGTATCGTACCTATACCCTCCTCCCTTTGAGAAAGGAGGATGTCCATCGTAGTACCGAGTCTAGCCAGCCTTGTGTCTACATTTGCCATAGTAGCCGGTTGCGTTGGACAGCGTTGACTGCTCCTTGTACATCTATCGTTACAAATGTGGATGCCCATCCTTGAGATCGAGCTTCCTCGACATCGTGCACTACTGAAGATACCAGATCATTTGCCGATCGTTTTGGCAGTGCGTCAAACTGTTGGTGGCCTACAACGTCTAAAGTGATGGCTAATGCGGACATCCTTTTCGCAAAAATTCTTTCTAGCGCCTTACCTGTACATGAGAGGAGTGCAAT